GACGTCGCACCGAGCCGATTGGTAGACCGTACGAACCTCGCCATACGGTGCAACGGTTAAGTTATTTTCGATTGGATCGAGAGAAAAATCGAATCGATTATTATAGGGAAACTTTAGACTTTAGTTTTGGATCTTTAGACTTTTGTAATTGCACAAAATGATGTGGTGTGTTAGTACGAAAATGCTTAAATTTTGTTCAAGCACTCGTTTCTTCTTGATGTATAATACAAAGAACGAGGCAATATTATAATATAAGCGCATAAAGGATTCTTATTGTAATGCCGTATACACCGGACATTACCATATTTACGTTGCGACTCGAGTGTACTGAACAAAAGTTCTTACGGTAAATTTATTCTCGCCATTAAGCGAATATTCCTGTTATATAATATCCCCCTGAAATTTTTTTCCCAAACGCCCACTAACTTTTATTAATATATCCATGTGTGAAGTGGTATCTTCTGATACATCCTCTCCCCACGCCTGAAAGCTTCATTAAAGGGCGCTCGTCGAAGACCATTAAAAAATATAGAGGCAGGATAATGGAGCGTTTAATTGTGGAGCGAACGAAAGACCTATAGACTCCGGGCCGTATAATTTAGAGGTTTTATTTCGTTTACGCGTTAATTTAAATTTCAATGGTGTAGGTGTTTGTTAATTTACCACGGAGCGGTGTAAAACGAATGATCGAAAATCCGCTTTGTTCGAATAACAGCCCATTGTTGTCGTATGCATATATGCAATTTATTCGTTCTGCTCCTCAAACCACGAACCTGCATTATTGAACTAGACATATTTACGTAATTTTTCGTGCGGTAATTGAGGATGAAGCGGTGTGTCGTAAACGTAAATAGCAATTGTAAAAAAAATCGCTATTTTATAATGTGCGTGAAATCGTTCCATTCAATCAACTCGGATTAATTGAAATTTCGATGGGAAATTCATCAAAAAATTAGATTTATTACACGCCAAGTAATAAATCGTGCCAAATATGCGAACAAAATATTTACCAAAGGATCTGATAAATGCACTTATAAATAATTCTGTAAATGCGCTTTAATTAAAAACAAACTATTCTATAATAAACCCCACGTATTATAGATAAGAACGTTGCTATATCAGTTAATAATAACTTTTCTCTTTTCCCGTTATCATGATTATCCTTTCTAATTCGTCTCGAGTACTTTTTTCCAAATCCTAATGCAACAAATAGCTTATCATTCGATCGTTAGTTTTATAAATGTCGTGCAAGCTCTGGTATACGTTTTTTTGCCTTGCAAACTTAATCACGTCAGTCATAATGCATGAATTATCGGAAAATAAAAAGAAAAAGTTAACCGCACGAAAGACTTGTATGTTATATCCAGTCACAATTAGCTCGAATCGATATCGTAAGAATTAGACGTTGCATTTTTCGAATTTCTTTGTTACATACACGTCTAAAAATTGAAACAATTTCATTCGCGAACCGGGAAAATATTTTGAGAGAAATTTTTAAATATTGGAACGATTTCCATTGAAAAAAAAATCCCTTTTAATTGCCTGCCAAGGACACGAACGCAACGTTTCACGAACAACTGTTCATTCCACTCCTGCTGGTTACCGAATCTCCCCGACCCACGTGCATCTGACGTATCCTGCGAACGAATAAACTTTTTTGTTACACGCACGTCTTCAACATCCTCATCGTGTCATCGCAGCATCGTTTTCTGATACAAAGAAACACACAAAAAATAAACCCCCGCGTGCTGGAAATGCCTGCAACCCACCCTCCTACATTATTGTGTATGCGATGAATAAACATTTGAGTTACAAACAATTTTGTGAGTTGTTTGCTTACAAACGGGTTTGGATTTTCACGTAGGGATATAATGCAATTCCCGAATAAAACGAGAATTCGAATAGGAGTTGATTAACTTTATTGTAAAACGCGAGTAAGATGGGGCACCTTAGCTTAACTACTATTACTCGAACTTTGCCCTTTTCTATTATACCGAATTCTCCTCCGTTCATTGTGGTTGAAACAAAGCGGACGAGAAAGAGAGCCCACTTAAAATTTACCGCCGTTCTTTCGGGGCCCATATTTTACCATTATGAAGAGAAGTATAGCGGAGTACATTCGTGCCCGGTAATTCATGTTTTTTAATCAAGCGTAAGTGTGAATAAGTGCCTTTCTCCTACCGGTTCTTTTATCATCGCCGTGGCGATTTGGGCGGCGAGAGGAAGAGAAAAATTCGGTTGCCATTACGTATTCGAATCGCTCGGCGTTGTTGATGTTTCTATAGCAATGCTCCCGGAATATTTCCGTATTGTTTAGTAGCCTTCTAGTATTCCTCCTGTTTCTTTTGTAGTGTCTTTAAGAGGGATATTAAACGATTTCATCTCGGGACGTTAGACACTTGAAAAACAAACGGTGGCTCTTGAGAAACGCCGGTGTTTGGATCCTCTCAAAGCGAATTTACGGTGAAAAATGGCCGATGGGTTTTTCAGACCAGGAAGTAATCAATCCTGCTGTTATTCTAGTCTTAAAACTGCGAGGATTTGTACAAACAAACAAACAATGCGCCCGATATTTGGGTAAATATTGAGACAAATCGAGTACGCCGCTGTTTCGGTACAAATTTGTTCCGTAAAGGAAACTTTTTTAATATCCTTCGTGCTCGTGCTGGTGTAGTTAACTGGGATGATGTGCAGAACTTACGTCTTTTAATAAAGTTTGTCGTTCGCCTTAGAAAAAAGGAAGACGAGGAAAACGTGAGGGATAACTAGGATTTAATATACTCTTATCGAGGCACGTGTAACGGTTTTTTTGGTTTTTTTTTTATAAACGCACCATTTCCCGGGTTACCAATTGAATTTCGATCGAGTTCATTGTCTACCCTCATTAGAATTTATCGCCCATACTTCGGTGTATGGGCGTTTCGAGCATGTTCCCCGTACCATTAACGTCTTTAATGGTCCCGTCGACCCTCCCAACACGTCCGTCAACCGTCGGGGATTATAAAAATAAAATTTCAAAGTACAAAAAAGGAACGCGCTCGAGCTTTATCTGTTGAGGTAATCGGTTAATTACTTAAATTGGTGCACCTCTCGAAATAGAAGTCTCTTAAAGCTGTTTCGGATTATACTTTTGTGTAGTCGACTTTGAAACGATTTTTTTATTAAATAATGGGAAAATTGTTTTTGTTTGTGCACGAAATGACGACCCTGGTTAAACGCCAGTAGCAGTATCGTATTACAAGGGAAGTTTTTCCCCTAATTGGAGGCGCTCATCGCATTTTGTGAGTCATTTTGTCGTTTGCCACAATAATAAAACTCTCCGGACTTTTTTGCTGCCAAACGAAGAATCCATTTGAAATGGTGGAATTGGCAGTAAACATATTGCGTTAGACGCATAGTTAGATTATAATAATTGTTTTAATTATGCTATACTCTAGGAAAAATAAATATGTTGTTTAAAGCTGGTAGTAGGAATGTTTTATCTTGCAGAATGTGCATTTAATACCGGCGAGAAATATCAATCATTGCGATGGGAAATGATATTTCAACGTCCCGGCATTCAATCACAACGGTTTCCTCTATCTGTTGTGTATAGGTTTTATGGATTCTTAGATGCCGTATTTGTCAGAAACATTAGTCAAACAAACGTCCGCATAAACCAAATAGATTTTTTTTTCCTTTCGCATTTCAATGGGATCATGCATCTCCCGGTGATGTGGAGATTTACTCTCGACTTCTTTAGTTTGAATTGGCCGATTCGAAGTTTCCTCGATCAACCGATACATTCTGGTATATTTTTGCGATAGCGAAGCAGCGGAAACTTAACTATACAATAATTGTTAAATAAAAGATCGAGTTTTTGTGGTCCCTTGAATGTAACTGTGTTATTTTTTTTACCATCGGGTAATCAATAAAACATTTTAAAAATGCGGTATGTCCCGGTTCGCGTTGCATTATTCAAAAAATAAACCAACAATCGCATTCATTACGCCCGGCAATTCGAGTTTCTCGATAATTATCAAACCGACAAGCGGACGATAATGTAGCGATAATGCCGCAGCGACTTGTAATTGATATAACCGTACGCATTAATAGCGTCTGTTGTACGACCATAAAAGTCGGAATAAGATTTTCACATCGTTTGTCACTTTGAGATACAAGCGTACGGGAAAAAAACCGACGAGTTTAATTGATAAAAAACCCTCGAAAGCATCGTAAACGTGCGTTTTTAAAAATATTTATGTACCTAAAAGAGTGTTGTAGTTGTAGCGTAGGCGTTACAAACAAAACATGGCGAGACACACCATGAGAAACGATTTCCAAATAACTTAAACACAAAAAATAAACCCTGTATAATCGAACGATTTCGAAATAACATACCCTAATCAAAGAGAGTATCCCTACCCTACGTAATCGTGTTGTTAAACACGAAGCTTTCGAAGATATGAAAATCCGGCTGAATAACCCGGGCGGTCGTTCCGGGGAGGGACTCCCCGAACGCAATTTCGGCCGCGATAATTGCGATTACGCGCGTTTTGACGGATCCCGCGGGAGCGACTGGCGCCCGTTGATAACTTTCCGTCGTCGGTCGCGAATTGCGGAAAAGACGAATGTAATTACATTCGGGAAGCGGATAAGAACGCCGAAAGGGTATACACACAATCGAGGGTGGTAGATTATATAAGTTAGTCGGGATACAAACGGGTTTGCGCGGTTGGTAAACGACGAGATTGATTTTCGCGAAAATCGCGCCGAGCTCATCCGCGTTATTAGATACACAAAAAATTTCCCGGGTCCCAAAGTGCCTGCGAACATCCAATTTTCCTCGCGGTAATTCGATAGTCTCGTCCACCTTTCGCGTCGAATTACCTCCGACTCATTTCCGTTCTGTTTTCACGCTTCAATCGAACCCTCTAACCCTCTGCGGATACGAAAGCTTACACGATTTTCCGTTAGAAGAAAATTGATAATAAAAAATGATATTGGGATTTTTTTTTTAGGCGTTTTGGACAAAGTACAAAGCCATTTTCAAATCAGCAACGACGAGTGCGGGTTATTACAAACCGCCTTCGTGCTCAGTTACATGCTCTTCGCCCCGTTGTTCGGGTATTTGGGCGACAGGTACAGGCGTTCCTGGATAATGGGGGCCGGAGTTTTCTTGTGGAGTCTCACCACATTGGCCGGCTCCTACATGGATGTAAGTGAATTAACGCTGCGTTTTATTAGATGTGATTTTTTTTAAACAATTTTTTGTTCGACAGCACTTCGGATGGTTCATTTGCTTCAGGGCGCTGGTGGGCATCGGCGAGGCTAGTTACTCCACGATAGCGCCGACGATTATTAGCGATTATTTCTTGGGGAACATCAGGTCGAAGATGTTGGCGTTCTTCTATTTCGCCATTCCCGTAGGAAGGTAAACAATTTGTAATAGTTTAATTGTTCAACGATATGGACGATGTTGTGTAATTGTACACGCTTAATTGCCTTGCTCGGAGAGCGATTTAGCGCGAGAGGAAAAAAATACGGTATCTCGCTAAAGAGGATGTTACACGCACACCCGAATAAACATATTTCACGATTTTCTGTGTACATAACGAATGTTTACTGCACGTACTGTACGTGTTAAGTTGGTAAACTGGTTTAATCGTTTGAGATGAGATGTTAAAAAAATTTAGAAATTTAAAATCCGTAAGTAAATTGAATATAAGTAACTTCTACTCAACGATAAATTACTATTTTTTCGCATTGCACGCGAACATGTGGGAGTTTAAGATGCGTTCGATGATGAATGAACAAGAACTGACAAAATTGACGTTAATGACATTTCGTATGACTGAAGTTCAATAGAGGTGGGAATAATTTTTTTAGTATAGAGTTGCAGTAACGACTGTTACGAAATAAGCGTTATTTTTCAAATATCGTTTTTTCTGTTTACTCTCAATACTTAACCCTATCCTAAAGTGTAAATTTGTTCACTGCTCTACTTTTTTTTTAAACTACGCAAAAAATTTCAGTTTCTATCAGTCTCCCGTGAACTCAAATAATTCCCTTTTCTAACTGAAACATTCTTACGCCTTATTTAGAATAATTCTATCCCATTCGCAACGTTAATAGCACCAAAGCGCTAATTGAACTATCCATCTCTTCCTGATTATAAGATAATTTCATCAGAAAACATGTATGTTTGTTCACTTGTACAAGATGTATATTTGTTTTCGCTTCGATTGCCCTACATGCGCTCGTTTCCCATATTATTTCCTTTAAGCGTGTTCTGGTAGTGGTTAAAGTTAAGCCGTTGGAAAACAAACATAGATGCTCGCGTGTCGTGTAACATATTACCAGACGCGGGACGATCGAATTTAGTTCGACGTTTGAAGTCGGGCCTTTTGTGCTTTCAAAATAGTCGAATTTTACGATGGGATCCGTTTATTTTCGGCGTTGCGTTTTCGAACGGGTTTTTACCGGTTTTAATTGCCTTGTTTGTTGTACGATTTTGATGCAGTAGCCGCGTGGCTTGTTTGGTACACAAATAAGTTTATTAACATCAACGTACCGAACGATTATATTAGGGAGAAAATTTAAGTAGAAATGGATTTGTTTTTTCGCAGCGGTTTGGGCTACATCGTCGGAGCGGAAACGGCGAAGCTGTTGGGCGAATGGCAATACGCGTTGAGAGTCACGCCGGTGCTCGGCATCGCCGCCGTTTTGCTCATTCTATTCGTGCTACAAGACCCCGAAAGGGGCCAGAGCGAGTACGTGGCAGGGCACTTGGAGACGACGCCTTGGTTGGAAGATGTCAAAGACATCGTGCAAAAGTAAGTAAATAGAGAAGATGAAGTTGTGGGTTCTATATGGTGATATGATTTCTTGTTTCCAGTCGGAGTTTCATGTTATCAACGGCCGGTTTTACCTGCGTGGCGTTCGTAGCAGGCGCTTTGGCCTGGTGGGGCCCGTCGTTCATCGAAAAGGGCATTCGGCTGCACCAAGGCGACGCTGAAGCCTCAGAGTAAGCCTCCACATACAAAATACCGAATTTTTGGTTTGCAGCTCGCGGCTTTTTATTTTTACACGGGGGTTCTGTTCTAGCGTCGCGTACAAATTCGGCATCATATCGATGGTGTCGGGCCTGGTCGGCGTGCCGTTCGGCAGCTACGCGGCCCAAAGGCTGCGGCCGCGGTACGCCCGCATCGACGCGAATTTGTGCGCCGCGGGGCTGCTCGCCTCGGCCCCTTTGGTCTTCTTGGTTTGCATCACGGCCCGCACCCAACCGACGTTGTGTTTCGCGCTCGTATTTTTCGCCGAGTTCTTCTTGAACTTGACGTGGTCGATCATCGCCGACATTCTGTTGGTAAGATTAGCGATTTGATCGGAGAGATGACGAAGGATCGATTCGTGTGATCGATTGTTCGATGTTCGTATGTAAAGGAAAATTGGGGTGTAATTTGTGCCATTTTATACGAACGATACGAGTGTGTAAATTTCGGTCGTAAATGCAAACATGATGACATTTAATAGTCTCGTACAAGATAAGTCGATTTAATGATGTCGGTACATACGATTTTGTATTCTAATTAGTGTAGAGTAGATTCAGAGATGAGATGATTCAGAGTAGAATAGATTCATAGTGGAGTAGATTCGGAGCAGAGTAGATTCAGTGTAGCATAGAGTTTAGTAGAGGTATTCTCGAAAATTTAGGTATATGAATGATTAATGAGAATGAAAGCATGATTGAGTTGTTCCCTACTAATGTACCACCCTGTATAATGTAGTATACCGAGCGAAGGGTCGCAAATGTTCCACCTCTATTTGTTCTAGTTTTGTTTTTAATTTTGAGCTTTGAGCTTCGAGCTATTCCAAATTAATGTGTATGTATTGTTCAACGAGGAAAGGGTCACAAATGTTCCGCCTCTATTTCTTAATCTGTCTCAAGCTCGACACAAATTAGGCTACAACGTATGGAAATCGATTCATCCTGTATGAGATTAAAGTGTTAATTATTTATTTGATTTTTCTTTTTGGAATTATACGAGCCAATTTTCTTTTGAACGAAGGTGTTATTCTTTTGAATTTTGTTTCAGCAATACGGCGTTCATATTCGGCGCGATAACGATGCTGGCGGGCATAATTGGTCTGACGTTGGGCGCCGTGTTGAGTCAGTTTTTTAAAAAAAAGTACAAATTCTTTGATCCACTGATATGCGGCACGGGCCTGCTCTTATCGGCGCCCTGTCTGTTCGCCGTCACGTACGCGGTCACCTATAACGTAACCATTATGTATATCCTCTTGTTCCTCGGTCAAGTCTCGTTGAATCTAAATTGGGCTATAGTCGGTGATATTTTACTGGTAAGCAATATATTGGCACAACGATTTACTATACTATTATTGTTCTTATATACGTTTATCTATTCTTTTTTTTTGTTACTTCGTACTTTCTCTCTGATTTCGTTTTGTATATTTTTTTTGCATCTTTCTTTCGTTCCGTTTCGTAATATATAACGTATGTTTTTGTAAAAGTGTACCTATAACACATAACCCTCTATTACTAATAGAGTTACAGATAATATTGTGAGAGTCGAGTAGGTTTTTATAAGAGAATTTACGAAAAGAATATGGATTTAACGATTATATTAACGAATTTATTAATTACAAAAAAAAGTTCGGTGTTGGTTAATAACATGTCTTAATCAATTAATCTTTTCCTTAACTCATTGTCAGAGAAGCAGAAATTTTTCATATCACGAATTCTAAATTATTATTGTTCTAAAAAGGTAATATATCACTGACTGTTGATCTAATTTTAGCTTCAATTTTGTCGATTGAAAGAAACGTTTTGCTGAAACATTATTTGACTAATTTATCTATTAGTTTTATCATTATCAAATCACACCTATATCACACCACTGAACTAAAATTTGTAACACGTTGAATTTCATTCACACTTCATTTATACTAGTCATTAAAATTTTAAGTTCAACCTGTTGTAAATTCATAATAAAGCAACTATTTTCTAATATAATACACTCATTAAAGCGCAAACAAAACAATTAATTGTACTCGTCGATGTTTTAGTACGTCGTTTTACCTACAAGAAGATCAACTGCGGAAGGTTTCCAATTGTTGGTGTCCCACGCTTTCGGCGATGCGGGAAGTCCCTATTTAATCGGCGTGGTAAGTCCGTTTCTACAGCAATTCTCTGCCAACTTTTTATCAAATAAATCTCCTCATTGCTCGTTTTGTAGTTATCTGAAGCGTTCCGGCGCCTCCTGTCGAAGACCTACAACAAGGACAAGCTGACCACGCACGAGGACGCCGAAGTCGAATTCAAATCGTTGCAGTACGCCTTGTTTTCCACGTGTTTCGTCGAAATATTGGGCGGTTTGTTCTTCCTCATGACCGCCTTCTACATCGTGAACGATAAGAGGAAGGTCGAAGAAGCCGTGTCCAGTAAGTTGAGAAAATTAACGAAAATACACGGAGTTTTGCACGACAAGTTTCTTATTAACACGTAATTAAATTGCCGCGGTATTTTTTAGGTGTCATTACTGCAGTAAGGGCGAAATGAAATTGATTAATTAAATTATTAGAAGCACGAAATCGACGTGATTAATGCGTATTTTTATCTAATTTAATGTAATTAAAAATTAAATCATCACCGAGTGGTTATATCGAATTTAATGTAGTTGCTTATCTACTTTTCTATCTTCTTTGAAACACAATTCGCACACTTCTTTAGTCTATTAATTTACTTGCACACATCACAACACTTCCACTTTGCTCGTGTAACATCTTCTAGATTTATTTTTTTAATTTTTCAACGTTCCCTGTATGTATTTTAGGATCGAAAGCTCCTAACGAGTGCGAACAACAGCAGCTGCAAGTAGAGGCCACTCGAACAGATCCACTGTACGTTTTGATATTGTTTTAGAAGGTGTCGGTGGTGGTGATGGTGGTGGAATTTTCCATTTTCCCATTTTCAATTTTCCATTTTACAATTATTTTTGTTTTCACAATGTTCGTCGCCTCGCTTCGTCGGAAGGGTTAAGTTGCACGGCGTTTAGGTTTGGTCTGAGAGGGTAGTGTTATAAGGGTAGAAATATCGATCCGTAGAGTAGAAGAAAATAGAGCAGAGTAGAAGAGAATAGAGTAAAAGATAGTAGAGAGAATAGAGTAGAGTGATTCAGAGATTTAAAGAAGATTCAGAGTAGAGTCAGACAGAGTAGAATTAGAGTAGATTCAGAGTAGATTCAGAGATTCAATGAAGATTCAGAGTAGAGTCAGACAGAATAGATTCAGATTTGATTGAAAGTACCATCAAAGTAGTTCAAAAGTACCTTTCATTCTCCGCTCAATTTGCACCAATTCTCTCGACCAAACGGAACGTTGTGAACCAAACAATTCCTTCCGTTTTGCGTTTAAATTGCCGATTAATATTTTTTTCTACTTTTTTTTCTAGCGGGTAACTCGAGCAGTCAGCTGCTGGTCAACCAGGACAACGACCAAAACATTTCCTGATCGTTCGTTTACTAAGTAAGAGGCCGCTTCGGGCTCTCGTTTGTAGACTTCGTAACCGCCGAGAAAGAAAAACTATTTATAAATGTATTTATTGCGTCGGATGTTAGTTAAATGATGTGTCGTCGTGTTCAGTAACTTTTCGTCGAGATAAACTAGAATTTTGTGGATATTCGCGTCGAATTCTGAATTCCTTCCGTTTATTTCTATGTAAAAGAGTGCGGATTTTGCGTTGTCGATTTCATATGCTTCAAATGTGTGCTTAAGCGTGGTGAAACAAGTATTTGATGTGTATATAGACAAATTTTTCGAAACGAAAATAATCTAATATCATAACCGATTGTAAGGATCAGGTTGTAGTAACCCACTGGGTTATCTATATCTATGAGATTCATAGGAGAGGAGTACGACTTTTTTTATTACGAAAATTCTGTATTGTTTTTTAAAAAAGTTTTTACCTAACAAATTAAAAAACTACAATAACATAACCCTAGATACGTCATATGTCATTTAATGTTATATTTCACTTTTGTTCGTTTCTTCTACTCTACCGAACATTTCGTTTTGTGATTGGTTAGTGACTTTACACGTCACTTGTCAAAATTTTAAAATTAAAATGCCTACATTTCCTCAAATATTGAATATTTGAAAACTGATTTGAGTTCTAATGACTTATTTCTATTCATATATCTGGTTAAAAACCGTATCTCACATCGTACTCCTCTCCACTAACGAGTAACGTGCAATAAAATACCTAGTAGCAGGTTTTTACTAACTACTTTGGGCTATTTTCGTTTCAATTATATCCGGAAAGTCCTTCCACACTTCTCGTATGCTCTTGAATTATTTTTATTTAGATATGGAAACTTCCTATCGGTTTGATTACTACATATTTGATTTGTAGGGATTTCGTGGATCCTTGGTTGAAAAGACTTGTTGAAAAGATGTGATAAAATTACGTTATGTACAGGTTATCGTAACCTATTGCAAATCCGATAAGTTGTATTATAACGTAGTTGAGTATATCGAGAAAAAATTGTACTGAAATATCACCTCAGATTGATTTTAAAATAATATTGTACATAACGATTATTTTAGTGTATGTTGATTTTAGAAAATTATTATTTTTCCTAGGTTTAACAGCGATGTATGTTTGGTTTTTGGCGACAAAAAAAAATATTGCATGGCGTGAAAAGTGGCTGAATTTCGATTAATTTGAGTCCAGAGTCAATTAGAGATTAAAGCTAGATAATAAATATAGCTCGAGAATTTTTTAAGCAAAGAACTCCTTCCTCTAGATTAGGTATTTTCTACATGTGATAATTAATTATTATATCATTAAACTTTTCACCCTATGTACCTACTACATATTTGAATTTATATATTCTTCATTCAAGAAAAGAATTTAGTTGTAAAGCATCACATTCTTCTTCATATTTTACTCATTTACATTGGTTTCTTCGATTTAGGCGTAAAGAGGCTGCCTGTTGTGGATTTCATTACATTAAAAAAATAATAAAAGCGATAAAAAAACTAATAAAAACTACTCGAAATTCGGCTCAAACATTCAGAAACAGTATTGGTTTGTTGCGGTGTGCATTAAAATTACTATCGAGTTTAGTTAATTAAGACTGAAAAATATACAGTATTTGTATATTTATTCTTAAAAAATAATGGTAATGAAAATGGTGTATCAAATTTGTTTTTTTTTTTCGTTTTTTAAAAGCAGATTTATAAAAATAAAATGTAAAAATATCCAAAGTGTCTTTTACTTACTCATAAACCTAAAATAGTGTACAAAATTCGAGTAGAGAGTAGAGTGTAAAGAGTCAAGTGTAGAGAGAAGAGTTTAGAGTGTAGAAAGAAGAGTATAAAGAGTTGAATGTAGAGAGTAGACTATTCGGTGTATTTTAGAAAACTCTGTGGGGGGTATAGAATTAATAATTCTCTGTACATTCCTATAAAATAAAATTGCTATTTCATAGTTAACTCTTCGTTTATTTCCACTACGTGGTTCATTACAAAAACAACTTCCATTCCATTACGCGCTAGACTTAACAAACGAGACATCTCTTAACTTTAGCGCCCTTCCTCTCCTTGGTGAAGGTCTGAACCGCCGGTATTCGGAAAATGGGATCCGGCCCGAAAACGTCCGCCGAACCCGAGCCACACCTGCCCTGCCTCTTGCACGGGTTCCTCTTCAACTTCAGCTTCCCGCAACCGCCGCACTTGTGCAGCGACTGCGCGTCGCGATAGGGCAACTCCAACGGCCTCGTTTCCGGCGCCCCCTTCGGCGGCTGGTTCACCTTGATGTTGATCTGCTGGTAGTTGGTGACCCCGCCCGGCGGGAAAACCGTCTTGTAGATCTTCTGCACGACGCACGGCTCCGAGGCGCATTCCTGCGACGACGGACAATCCGGTATCGAGCAGGGCTTCGGGGGCTTCTTGCACGGACACGGTTTGCACGAAGCGCACATCGCGCACAACTTCGGACACGACGCGGACGCCGCGCATTTGCAACACAACGAACTCCCGCGCGGTTTGCCCGCCGGTTTCTTCGCCGCCGCGCACGCCGGGCATCCCTTAGGGCACGGGTCTCCGCAGGATTTACAAACGGGCGGCGGCGCCGAGCATTTGCTGCACAACGAACTCTCGCGCGGTTTGCATTCGCGTTTCTTCGCCGCCGCGCAACCCGGGCATAACTTAGGGCACGGGTCTCCGCAGGATTTACAAGCCGGAGGACAACCAGCGCATTTAGCACACAACGAATTATCGCAGGGTTTAGGCGGCGGCTTCTTCGCCTCCGCGCATCTCGGACACAGCTTACAGCAGGGATCGCAGGAGGGCGGCATGCACCGTTTGCATCTCTTGCACAATCTACAACCCCTGCTGCAGACCTTGGGGAGTTTATAGCAACACGGCAGCGTCGGCGGTTTCGCGTCGCAATTAGTAGACAGTATTTGATACTTGCGTCTGCACGGCGCGCCGCAGGGCCGCTTCACCGGCACGCCGCAGCTGGAGCTCGAGAACCGCAAGTACGGCGTCGAACTGGGCTCCGGCAGCGTCGGCGGATAGTAGCACGGGCTCTTCGGCGTCGCCTCGCAGGCCGGGCAGCACTTGGCGTGCCGGCACACCGGGAACGCCGGGCACTCGGGGTTGCCGCATGAGAACCGGTCCACTTTCTTCATGACGCTGCTGAAGGTGTCCGCCTCGTAGGAGGGTACGCAGGTGTTGATGGAGACGTCGGCTTTGCTGCGCGACGGGCACGGCGCCCGGCACGGCGAGCAGCCCCTGGAGGTGAGGCGCGGCCTGGGACAGGGCGGGTACTCGGCGCTGGGGCAGCGCCGCACCATGCGGGTCTTGGGCCTGCATGGGTAGCGGACGGGGGGGCAGGTGCTCGCTGGAAGGGGTCGCGGCGGGCACGGGGGTCGCGGGACGCAAGGGACTTGCGGCGAGCAAGGCGGTCGTCTGTATAGGCAATTCATGGCATTTCGTACTGGTGATTTAAGTTCGATTCCGAGAAAGGTTGGTTAGGTTAATTTTGAGGCGGATTTTGGCATTTTTTTGGCATACGTTCTTTCAAAAACGTAATGCCAATGTCGCAATGTTAAAAGTTTAGTGGAAACATCGACGGTTTTATTAATTTTATCTGTTGGTTGTCATGTTTTAAGTGACATATTGCGGATAACATAAAAGATGAACTTGAGTTCTAATGTAATAAATTTATTAACACCTTTTTGCAGTTATTTAATAGTAAATGCGTTAAATTCACGTTTTCAGCATCATCAATAAATATGAAATTCAGTGATTCATCTAGAACAATTCAGACGATGTTGCAAAATCCTATTCCAATTATTAATCAAAAAGTTATGTAACTATATACAAAAAATACAAACTTTAAACAATAAGTAAAAAGTTTTACAAACATTTAACGACTCTATTTAAGCGCCTGGAACGTCTGGAAATGACTATAGCAAAAAAAACTACCCACGACAAAAATCTGAAGTGTACTGTAATGACTAAAAAAAAAATCCTAATCGAATAAACCCCCATACATCGGGGGAAAATATCGTATCGCATGGCGTTTGCGTAAACGCCCCCTTTAAAAGCCCGTTTACCCGTCCATTAACGCTTACAGTCCAACAGGCAGATTATCAAAACGCACTTCGCGCCAAAAACCTGTTTGGACCTGTTGATTTTCCGCGGACGAAGAGAGTCGCAAGAAGAGCGCCCGGGGTAGTCGTCGCAAGGGGATGTGGAAAATCGCGTTTTGCCTGTTCCTGATCGCCCTCAGCGAGGGGTTTCCCATAGGAAGGCCGACGGTGATGTTGGACGAGTTTCCCGATTATCAGATCGGCGTCAGATATGATGAATATCCGGTGAGTGGTGTTTTGATTTATCGGTGGCGTTTTTCTTTTTTCGGGTGACGCTTATTGGACGGTTTTGTCTCGATTTTTCATTTTTAATTCGGGAAAAACACGTCCTTGTTCGCGCTGCGGGCTAACAATTTGAGAAAAAAATATGTGCCGGTGCAACAATTTTTTTATTTCGCAATGAATGTGCTATAGTTTCTTCTACAATCTAAAATTTCCGGATTTTTAATTTTAAGTGGAAAACTTTTTAATTAATTGTGTTTTAACATGTTAGTAACATGTCATAAATGGTTAATTTAGAAATTCTACAACCCACATAAAACTAGTCAGAAGTTAATTAAACTATTCGGCAATTTAATTAACAGTTTCACATTTATTTTATTCACAATTTTTCTACTCGACTAATTTAATATACTTAGTTCTTATTGAAAAATTACTGCCCTCATACTTAATTTAAATATTTATGGTTATTTTTAGTTGATGTGTGGGAATTTAATCATGTAGGTATAGGTACTCGGAATTCAATGAGCAATTCGGATAATACAATAAGGTAGGTAAAAGCCTATTGTGGTTTATGTGCGTGCATTTACAAATCATTTTTAATTTAGTACATCGAGCAAAATACCACTTTAATAGAGATGAATTGGAATTACTATAAATTCGTTCCACTTCAACCACGTTCTAATTTTATACTCATTTTATCTTCCAATATTCAACCCATTCACCTGATTTACTAAACAGGGAATTATTTATTTATCTTTAATTATTCACAATCTAAAAATCAGTCTTGGCAACTTATTTTTAAATTAAACTCCCCGTTCCCTGTGGGGATTTCGCGTAGCAGAAATGTAGAGTGAAATCTAATTTTCACATCTGAACGGAAACTAATGTGATAAAGGACATCAGGTAGAAAGAGGAAGGTTTGCAAGTTACATTCGAAGGATTAATGGGATCTGTCGGCAGAAATTAGCTCGACAAGCAGGAAAATTCTACATATTATTAATACATCACCCACATGAATTATTCATAAAGTAGTTTCAATAGAACTTTTAAAATATAGTCGTCTTGTTTTTATCGGAAAACTAAGCTTTTAATTTTCAAGAAAGGAATATTCCTCGGGAAATTTTATTAAAAGATTAGCTTCAGCTTCCTGTACGGATATTTAACGGCCAGATTAAGATGGATGTTTCCAAAAGGGATTACTTTGTACTACATGAAATCTTAAATATTTTATAAGACGAGATTATACGGTGTAAAAATTGATACCTATATACGCGCTAAAAATCCAATATCAGAACTTCATGTAAGCTATCGAATTAATCAGATTAATAGTACCGCACACAATTCTATTTAATTGATATTGGTTAACTTGTCTAAAGCTAGCAGGATTAATTGTTTTATTTAATGCAAACAGTAGTCAAATAAAATTGAGAATTAATTGCGGCATCACATCCAGACAAACTAACATTGTTGTCCGTTTCTTGTGAGTTTAATTTAAATGATTTCCACAATTGTAGCCAGGTGATTTCCAGTAAAAGTAGCGAAGATGTTTGAGCGAACGAAAATACCTGCAGAATCGATGGTATAGAAAAATTTTATGCGTCGTTTCGAGGGAGAAAACAAATTGATTGTCCAAGAATCGAGCGCGCTAATTGGAAAACAACGTTTCAATTATCGAGTAATTATCAATTATCGCTTTGAAAGCCGGCCGAAAGCGAAAAATAAAGGAACATATCATGCGTACGCGCTCAGCTAATTCGCTAGCGATAATTAGAAACGAATTCGAACTGTACTTTAGGAAAATCGCGATTTTCCCGAACCCAAAAATGCTAATTAGGCGGAATTCCAGAAATCCGTCCGACCCTCGTCCGAGAACCCTCCGAAACGTTTTCCCTTCCCCGAACCGTTTTCGCGGTCCGGCGAATAAACAAATAATTTACCCGGCGCGGAAAACAAACAAAAAAGAAAACTCCCTGCTAACCGACGCGTCAGCGACGTTTTCCCACCCGCGGGATAAGATACCGGGAATACACCGAACGCTAAATAAAATTTACGAATTTTCCCCAACAAGAGAAACTCGTTTAGCCTCGATGTTATCAAAACGAGTTAAAACCCTAATTGCAGTCCATTATGCTTAATATATTTGGTGCGAATTTTGCGGCACTAAATATTTATAATAAACGAGCTTCAACAGACTTTCGTGCAACTTCAAAAGCTTTATTATTGTACTACACTTCGCTCTCCAAGTCTACTCCTTGCCGCGTTAAGACTGGTCAAGGAGGAGCTCCTCGCTCCTCCAAGCGAAGCGAGAAAAAAAACCTGGATGGATATTTGAATGCGAACGGAAAATACGGAATAATTTCGATCGGTCTCCGGTCTGCCGGTTGTCGACGCGCCCGCGGGAGGCTAATGCAATTGCTGTTTCGGTCACAGCACGCCGGAGTTCGCTGCCTCGGGGCTTTTAACTTGCGAGCTTCGCACACGTTGCGATGCACTAATGGTAATGGTTTTCGTATTTAGGCGAACTCGAGTACGCGTACAGGACATTTACCTAATCGCATAGGCGCGCCCCCCGTTCGGTTGTAACCCTACCCGGTTAACGACCAACCCGGCAGGAATAACCCAAGATGATGCATCTTATAATAGGTGATGTAGCTGGCCTAACGAATTCCAACAAAATGTATTTTTTTTCTGTGGTTTACAACGTTTTTTTGTTAGGTATTTCGATTCGAAAATTGGAGGAGACGACCGGGTAACCGAAGTACTTTGCTTTAGTAACCCTTGTTCAGACCAATAATTATTACTGTCGTTTTTGCGCCGATTTAGAAGGGAATTGCGGTGTCAGGTCAGTCGATTAAGTGTAGGCGGAAAGAACGCACTAAATAAATTAAAGCAATTAATTATGAACCTCCATACATAAGTAATCGCGTGAATAATGCATTAGAAAGTAATCCAAACGTGATTTCTCATTTAGAACAGGATATTTATAAGTTTTATAATTTTTTTTTAGTTAATCGTGCCGAAGAAACGGACGGCTCTTCTGGTAAACAGATTGATGGTGGCTCTGAAAGAAGCCATCGATGAAGACGAGAGGAGCAACGGATTGAAGGAGTATCCATCGACGCCCGACGCCGACGTCCGGTCGTCGGTAAGTGCAGTTATAGTCCGTTCCGATCGAATTGCGGGCGGACTATAATTTCGTTTTTCTAACAAGCCTGCGTTAATTAATTTCCCTCTCGAGTTGAATACCGGGTGAACAGAGAGCGAATACAATGAAGTGATGGGTGTACAATTCGATGCGAGAATATTGGTTTAATTAATTAATTAAATTGGGTTTCCATTATTCGAGTTGCGATTTAATTTTAATTTTAGAATGATGTATTTTTCTCGTTTTAGATGGATTTGCAAAGAAGAGGCCACAGCGCGATCGGACAACAAAAGGGCAGAAACTACTGGAGATGCTATTTCAACGCCGTTACTTGTTTTTAGATTACTCTCTAGTTAATTAATTGAGTATGATTTCGTTTGAAAAATTACAATTTCGCAAATACAGTGTTAAGCAACAATAGCCGTCGTTGCTGTTATTAGTATAATTCATTGTTTAACGTATAATAGGGAGAAAAATTATAAAACTCAGAGATCATTAAATCCAGTAACTAATCATTTTTTTGCGTTTGAATTTCGAAAAATTATTATTTGGCATATGAAGAGGTTGTTATTAAGATATTTTTATAGGAATCTATAATTTATTATCAAAAGATTTAAATACAGGGTGGTCCATTGAGTAAAGTTATATACAAAATAGTAAATAACCTACTAAAATACTCTCCTTGTAAAATATAATTGAACTTACCTTGCCTCGGTATTGGTACACCCTGTATAAAAAAAGAGTAAAAATTATTTAAAAACAAATTTGAAGGAAATGTAGATATGAGTATGTAGACAATCCTATATAGGTCCTACTAAATTATTTTTATTTAAATATTATAAAATAAATTTGAAATTATCTATTAGTAAAATTTTCTATAATTTAATAAAATTTCTTTAATGTAATGTTCTCGAATAAATAAGATGCATTTAATAAATTCTACAAGTAAAACGACATTTTTCTTTTTCGACCAGTAATTCTTCGCTTTTAATTATTCATGCATTATTTCATCGATCGGTAATTTTCAAAATGAAAAATATTTTTCTCCGCAATATAAAAGTATCCTCCACCTCAAAAGTTAGTATCGGATAACGCCGCTCAATAGCCTCAAAGTACAATAGGGAATCGTCCCCAGGAGAAGGAGATCCTCCAAAGAGAATTCTATATCTAATATTTCTTTAAAAGATTTTCCCGTCGTTTTACGACAAACATGTTGTTGTAAATATTGGAGTAATCTCGTGACGTCATCTCTAATTAAAAACGAACGCATATACAAATTTTCCACAATAACAGGAATTATTTTCATTTATTTGTATAAAATGAAGCGTAGGATTGCACGAAGGTGTTCGTTAATATCGAATTTAATTTTTATTTATAGTCCTAGTACTTGCACAACGCTTTCGTTTCGCGACAATTTCTCGGATTTCATAATTTTCTTTGCTCAGAGCAGAAATTTTCACCGCTACAGCGCCTTAATGGGATCTCGTGTAGCGGATTTACTGGAACACGTAACTGTTTGTTACTACAGTAACAATTAGGTGTTGGTTTTCAATCTAATTAAAATAAAAATCCGTTTACAACATACGATGCAAGTGTATATCGAATTGAATATTGTATAGAAATTCTGATTGAGTTTTTTTTATAGGGAGGATTCTTCGTGATAATGTGAAAATTGATAACTCTAAATTGACTATAAATAACAATATCTATCTTATTTTGACAGCATTATTAACTCGGAAATTTCATTACATTGATATTAACGCCGGCTTTTATTGACTTTATTGCAGATAAATGAGTGATTAAGCGGAAAGAACTAAAATTATTACCCACAAAATAATTATCAAGCACTATTTTTTTCAAACAATAAGACACATAAAACAAACGTAATAAAATTCTCCAATTATAGTACATTTCAATTTTGTTAATAGCAGCGGCTATAAACATTTATTTTTTTGTAGGTATTATATTGCTCGCTAATGACCGATTATTGCCCCATATAATCCATTAATTTCGACAAAAAAAATTCGCCCGACTAATAATTAATTGGTTGTCTAATTAGCGTAAACTTCTCGCCCTTGACGGAGTTGGGGAGTTGTCACACCATTCAAAACGAACACCAAATGCGTTGGTTGTGTTACTGAAGACATTCATCAAGGCAACAATCGGGGAACCTTACATAACAGATTGTTAATTAATGTAATTACCGAGGCTGGTAAATGCGAGGTGAAGTTCCAGACGAAACCGAATAATTATTGTATCGCAAATTAATGATGCACGAAAGAAGGAAATTATTGTGGAAATTTTCGAGTGGTGAAAATGCGAATAACAAATAAAACAAAACAAAAAGGACGATTTTCGAATTTAAATTCAGATAACTGCGTAATTGTTCGCGCGGAAATTTATATCGACGAGTTGAGAGAAAACTTTTTTGTTTCTGAAACATTGGGTTTGTTTTCGATCGAGTTTATTCGACTATTTTAAATTTTAGGAGAAGATTTGTATTCTATGTGCTTGTAGAGAATCTATCAAAGTAGATTTAAGTTACACCCTGTATACCTTATTCCTTGACCTTAAAAATATATTCCTATTGAATTTTTAAGATACTCAAAATCTTCCTATAGAATAGCCAGTTCATAATCTACCTTTTTTCGTATTTCCTACGATCGATTCGTTGTAATCACAGTGGGAAATCAAACATTCGTTTTTTATTTCTGTTTACGCATTTTGTTTTCTTTATTTAGTACATTTGATAAATATGGATCCGAAGAAACAAAAGCAGATAATTATCCTACGTAAATACATTAGAAATACTACTAAAATTACACCTTCATAAGCAATTTATTCAGATAAAAACCGATGACCCATTAATCGTTAACAAAATTTGAAGGTATTACCCAAACTTTAACAAAACCTATCTCTTGTTAATCGAAATACGAGTATTTGATTATAGCTCGAGCAGTTCTCACGTACACAAGCTATAAGTTAAATTAGCGGAAACACCTACGATACCCAAGCGTAATACTTCAAAGTGAGCAGAAAGAAGACATCTCGAATACGGTAATTGCCAATTAAAGAGACTGTTAATATACCCGAAAGGCCAATTTTCCTACAACCGACGCGTTACCTATGGGGATTCGACGGTGCATTTAGCATTAGCGAAACGCTTTCAAGCGAATTTTGTCAGTCGTATAGACTCTTTAATATACCTAATGAACTTCCATTAATTCGAAGAATGCTTATTATTTTAATTAAATTGATACATGACGCGTATGAGTGGGCTCTCATGAAACCAAAGCAGACGAAAATTAGAACCCCAATGAGATGTTTTCTTATTTATTCCAGTAAAATTTTGAAATGTCTCAGCAGCATCTTTCTCCTATTGTGCAAGTTTAGAGATTACTTTTATCAACAAAAATAAAGCAATTGATTTATAAAATATTGTCATATCTATAAAGAATCAATTACCCACTGCAAATATTAGTAATGCTAAGTACCTTGTAGTTTGTATAATTTTGTTTGTACCTACTACAAAATGATACAACTTTTGTACAAACTTTGTGCTGCGACTATTTTTAAAGCAAATCCCTGTATGTATATTAATACACGAATAATGTTCACCAGGTTAAAATGATAAATACATATTAATTGAATAATTCCAGAAATGGACTAGTAAAATTCATCCATACTCTTACAGCAGAGACCTCAGAAATTTCATACAAGAAAATAAAAAAATAACTTGTATCAAGTACCTATCAAGTTAATAATAAAGAAAAAGGTAGGTAGAAAATACACTAAAAACTATTTACAGTTCTTTATAACTAAATCGTAAAAATTCAAAAACCGGCACTGTTGCGGAAACAATAAAAATTCAACACAAATATGAATAAACATTTAAGTATTTAGACATCAACCGAGGGCAATAAGCTCATTATTAATACCCATATCGAACAATGGTTTGGTATTCTGCTGTATTCGTGATTTGCGTTATTTTAATAGCAACAAAATTATATCACTTGCTGACAAAAGGATGGTGTAGAAGTAAAGTATGCCTTGTGGGAAAAACTGTTCTAGTTACAGGATCTAACAGAGGTAACAAAAATTTTATTTCATAGTAACAAAAAACATAAACCAGTGTAAACAAGTCAAGTAGGAGTATAATTCTTAATTTCATCATCGATCCTATTACTTTTTCAACAGGTATAGGCTTCGAAACGGCGTTGGAATTCGCCAAAAGAGGCGCCAGAGTCATCCTAGCATGTAGAAATTTGGAATATGCCGCAGAGGCCAAAGACAAAATAATCTCTCTCACGCAAAATCGGAACATAGTTTTGAAAGAAGTGAATTTATCTTCTTTGAAATCGATAAAAAATCTAGCAGACGACATCAACAAAACAGAAGATAGATTGGATATTTTGGTCAATAACGCTGGAATAGGCATTATAAAAAACAAAACCACCGAAGACGGTCTGCAGATATTGATGCAAATCAATTATTTTGCACCTGTGTTTTTGACATTAAACCTAATCGGTTAGTATATTAGTATAGTAATTGTGTATTAGGATGTATAAATACAACATTATTTGTAGATTTGTTAAAGAAAACAGGCTCCAGCAGGATTGTATTAGTTTCATCGATGCTCGCCATTCTGGGCGATTTAAAAAATAAAAATCTAAACGAATACCCAGGATCTAATCTAAAAGCGTACAGCAATAGTAAATTAGCACTAATCTTGTTCGGCAGGAAACTCGCCAAGCTCCTGCAAGGATCCGGTGTTAGCGTTTACAGCTTACACCCAGGCGTTATAAAAACGAACATCTTCGATAAAATATCCAAAGCGTACAGGACAGTTTTCGATGTTTTCGTACTGTGTTATTTTAAGGTGAGTATTCGAGTAATAAGATGATAAAAAATAGTGTAAAATAATGTATTTAGACGCCCGAAGAAGGCGCCCAAACGACGCTGCACGCGTCTTTAGAGCCCGACTTGGAGGAATATTCCGGGGGATTTTTCAAAGAATGCGAAAGGACATCGTTTTACAGAAAAGCGAGGGATGACGGGCTGGTTGATGAAGTGTGGCAAAAAACGATGGATGTATTAAAAATCGAGAAAAAATTTGTGTAAATTTGTATTGTATATAGCAGGTATAGAAAGACATATCACATAAATTAGTTAAAAGAAGGAAATAAACTACAAAATGTCTAATTCTAAATTAAATTGTGCCTACCTGTTGAAGGGAATTTCGATAGGGTCTATTTAATTAAGTAGCGAATTGTGATTTTTTTTAAATCGTAATATTGTTTGGGGAAATTCGGAAAGCGAGACGCGTTAATTACGCAGCAATTATCCTGAAATTGGTAATAAAACTTAACGACGTATATAGAGAAATCTCACAGAAGGGCTCTTAAGAAGGTAAGCTCATTTAATATGAATCCCGGTAATTCGTTCGCATGCAATTACACCTACATTTTGCAATAAAACTCTACTTATCCATTCTTCCGAGCATGCATACACAAAAATTCAATAAAAGTCTTTTGAGTTGCACATTTCGAATATAATATAAAACTGATGCCGTGGGTTTTCAATTCTTAAATCCAACGTATTACAAAGCTAATATAACAGACAGTTTTATTCCAAAATTCTTGATTACATAATGTCTAAAATAAATTCTTTTATAGCATTTTTACATAAAGGTATTCAGATAAAACATTAACAACACAACAAATATTTATTTAGTCTCTTCACCTGATTGATCACCTATCAATTTTCATGCACTCACTTTCATCGAAGTTAAATTAAAGTTCGGCTGTACGCAGAACCAGTCGAAATTAATCGGGCACGAATGATTTTTTTGAGAAACTTATCTAGCGGATTAGACGGGCATTAATGATTTTTAATTACAAGCGGTGGTAAATTCAATTTTCTTGGATTCCGATTCTAATGAAATTTAATGGTTTCATTAACATTGGCCACGTTTAGGGCACAGTCGGGGGCTAGACTGATATTAATATTAATCAAATGGCGATTATTCCGATGTAATGTCATTGGCGTGTATTTATGAATATAATCCAGTGGATATATTGCAACAGTATGAGGAAACTAAAATTAATAAGAAGGAATTCGTAATTTACGATAAAAACTACAAAAGGAGATTCTATTATTAAATTTCAAAACGTCTCCACCAAATCTACGGATGTATTTGAGAATCGGAGCCGGATCGGAGAGAGGATAAATCCTATTAGGAAACAGCTCCAATGCAAACTTCATATTTTGCAGACACTTTACGTTGTCCAGCATAATGACATTTCACGCCGGGAATCCAATCTCGTTGCGTCAATACCTTCGCATCTATTTGTTGTATCTTGCAACGCGCGAAAACAAAACAGCTAGTGAAAATCGAAATCGGCCACAACGGCCACAGAAAATTAAACTTTCGTGCTTCTAACTATCGCAATTACATGTTTGCACAAGTAATTCGAACCGGCCGGCTATACGTGATCCCCTTTTCTACATCTGCGAGTTCGCCCTTCCGCGATGAATCGTCCCGTCCATTGGGAAATTCATCACCGCGGGGACTCCGAAACTAAGTTAATGCAGTTACAACAGGTATCTAAAGGGAGAAAAAAGGAAGGAAACGAGGGTCCAAGTGGATTGATGGGTCTAATAAAACTGCAAAAATTGAATTTGGTGATCTCCGCATGGGAGTCTTAAAAAGTTGTCATCGCCTATTGTTAATTGTACGTTGCAGGATAATTTTGATGTTTAGAAAAATCGTGAACAACGTCTCGCTTTCCTTCACCTTAAAACCTACATTTTTTCCTTCACCCACATTTCCTTTTGGATAAATTTTTGGTGCGAAGCGACGATTGGCCGGCGCTCGTTCCGATTATTGTGCGCCTTCTCAATTGGCCGACCCTCCTGATATATAGTATAAAACTGACTAACGCGTTGTGGATCTCTCACAGTGTATCCAGAGAGTGCCACGGTCCAGGTCTGGAAAGCACAGGTGAGCTCCACGAATTTCTTTATTTCTACACTACAGGTTAGAAACACTGAATTCAATTGAAGAATAGTTTTATGAAGCGATTTGTTATTGTGATATAAGATAAAGATAAGATAAAGATAAGAAAAATTAAATTGGAGATAGTATGATTAGTAGGAGTTGTAGTTTTGGAATTATAATTAATTCTTTATTTGAATTAGTCAAGAGTAATGAGAAATTTTACAAATTTAACTACATAATCAGTGTATTATATTATTCCCTATTATCGACGATTTTCTCATTCACCCTCATAATTTGAAACAAGTTTTATTTTTCGTAGCAATTTTTAATCCAAATTAAATCCCCTAATATAAAAAATTAACCAATTTTCCAACGACCCTTCGAGATTTATTCAGTGCATAAATCCGCCGTCACTTTTTAATGTACCCATCAACTCTTTCGGTGCGCGTCCTTAGCCGACATATCGCCTTGAAGCCGGCAGGATCATCCCGCAGGAGACGAGCGAAATCCGACGCGCAATTATTAAAATATATACCAAGCGGACGGGGTGTTCCTGGCGCGGATTAAAACCGTTATGTTTCGTTTCCCGAAGTTTCCCGTCCGGGCTACAGGTTGTCGGGTCTCGCTCGAACTTCTATTAGGGGCTCTCCTTGCAGGAAGGCGCGGGAGTTTCGCTCGTTTAGCGGCGCTAATTCGAAGAGACGAGAAAGTAGAATCGCTTCGCAATGAAATTAGGAGGCTAATTAGGGCGGACTGTGCGAGAGGCCGGTTTAAAATAGAGGATTTTTCGGGCCGCTGGAAATTCTATTAGAAATGAGAGAAATTTCGAATGGTGTCATTAAAGTTTGTTTTAAAGTTGCAAACTTTGTTGGCACAAAAATTACTTATTTTAATTCCTGTGCTATTCATTCGTATGATTACTGGAATAATTCGAGTGTGTTAGTTTTATCCACTCAATGGTTTAGATCCCGCAAAAAACACCTGGAAATTCCCAAACTAAGAACCGTTCTTATTGGGTTTTTCTTATTAGAAATAGTCAATCAACTCAAATCCTCGGAGATCCTACATCACAATGCCTGGGAAAAAATGTCTTCTACAACATTTTATTTGAGCTTTTGTCCCAACGCTACAATTAGGGTAGGAAAGCCTGCTCATTTAGTACAGAAAAAATACATTTCCATTACAATGCCGTCGTTGTGTATTCTGTTTCTAATTAAGAAGGAGATCGTCCTGGAGAAAGAACGTGAAAAATTGGGCAATTTTCTTTACTTAATGATCAATGAATATGTAATTAAGGTTACATTATCCGGCGAGGGCGAGAGGGCTTGTTAATAATACAAAATAAATAATAATTATTAAATTTCGAAATTTTTTTATCTTTCTGTTGTAGTTGGAAAAGTTTGTTAGTTTCCTCTCATGAATAAATTTCGCTCTACTTCTTCACTTTTCTGCTTCTTTTGCGAACTTTTCCCGATAAAATCGAATAAAAAAATCGAGTTCTGAACGCCAATGTCGAAAACAATAACGTCGTAATTAAATCTCTCGTTGGTCGATTTGTGACTGGAGCCTTTGTATATTTTACATCGTAAATTGAATTCGATTTTTACCGGTCGATTACTCACGATTGACTCTAATTTTTGGCGGAGGAAAACTCGCATTCAACCGCCAAATATTCTAAAGCAAATTCCTGCGCAGCCGAATTCCTGCAGGCCATTACACCAGGCTTTTTCAGGCGCTAAGTGTCGATGCATGTCAACCCGAAATCGAGATTACAGTTAACACACAAGAGTTTCCCGCCGACAACAATCATTTCTGCCAATTTCCCATCGTAATCGCTAAAACGATTTCGCGCCCGTCTCGCTACCGCCCCAATGCAGTGAATTTATTTATTCAACAAGGGAGCAATTTATATTAGTTTCAAAACGTCCAATAACGTATCAAAACGTATCCAGTGTAATTATACTGCAGATTCTGTAGTCAAAATTAACTAATTTTTGTTATACCCTGTATCGTTTCAATTTCCTTATTTCAATTACCGAATCTTCTGGGTGTATTCCGAGAGCACCGGCAATAATTTATCGCTACTACGAGTATTTTAAATAGAACAGTAAACTCAATAATTCAGCAGTAAAACGAGGAGAGCTTAGAGCAAAATATACCTACATGCTGTCAATAAAACGTGAATGGAATTGTATGTACCTAATCTCTTTATTTTAGGGATCCGCATACGAATTTATATGGATTTCCCGCCGATTTATTCGATCGTACGAGCGTAATTTATACACGACTCTCTGCACTTTGTATTATAGATTTAAATACAACAATATTTTTCCTAATGAAATTCGCGCAAAGTGCGCTTTAAGCGGGACGAAATACAGTGTAAATACGTAACAAGAATAGTTGCAATTAGATGCACAAAACGTTTGATAAGCAATACGATAAGCTCCCGTTATACACAACGTCAGAAAATTATATACTGCTAAATTCACCCGACGTTCTAATTAGCATCCCGTTTGTAACATTCGAGATTACAATGACAAATCTCTGCACAAATGCCGAGCGAAAGAAAAACGTATTAAATTGTAAAATTCCTGCTGTGCAGTAATTTCGGGAATTCATGTAGCATGTAATTAATTGACTGCGAAATGTGCCTAGTTAGGCGCTAATTAATTGAATGAGAACGAATCGAATTATTCGAATATCTATACGGCTGTTTAGCGAAGGTGAAATTTTATTGCGAAAGGAAAAGGGAAGTTATTTCTACAATTAATCTAATTACCCCCTGATGACATTAGTTTTTCGTAGGGAATTTTCACGAAAGAGCTTTGAAGTGAGGAAATTAATAAATTCTTCCAAATAAGTAAGAGAAATTCCTTTAAATATTGATTAGAAACTTGTTGTTTAAACGCACATCTAGTTGCAATGGAATCTAATTATTTGCTTACTGGAAAAAATAAAATTCAATTACATTTCAACGACATTTCCTCCGGGAAAAGGCAATATAACGCAACAAAGAACTTTAAACATCGACCGTAAAGTCCTTTCGAACGTTTATTTAATGCCCTAAACTGCTCAAATAATTGACGTTTACTCAATAACAAAGAGATAAAAATCGACATTAAAACGTATTGTAACGCGAATTCGTCGGGGAAGGACACCAGGCAGCGTTTTGTTGTAGATAATGACTCTGCTTTAATACCCGCAGAAGTGGAAAGGCGGGAAAACCCGTTGGAAAATTGAACGTGAAGTTTTCGAAGGAATTATTTTCCCGAAAATCCAGCGGGAGAATAATGGGGACAGGCGGTTTTTCGAGCGAACTAAATAGTGCTGCATAGTGGCCAGTAAACTAATTTTCCTGCGTGCATTTTATTTACGAGACCTCGCCCGTCTGGCGATAAAAGGTTTTCGAGTTATTTCCAGATAAATAAAGAAATCTGCATAATTCAAGCTTGGATTCGTAAAATATTTATCAATATTGTAGCTCCTTTTATTTCTTAAAATTTTTATTGCTCAATACATACATTATTTTCCAACTATTTTACATGCAAAAAATCACCGCTAATATTTAAGTTTCCACATGAACGACGGAACTTTTCTAATTTATTTCTCACCTCCTCGGTGAGTTTTATGATGTTTTTAAGTCGTTTTTTCGCGGCGGTGCTGCCAAAGGGATTCATCAATTTCGTATGAATAAATTCGCGAGGGGGCCTTTGAGTGAGCGATATTTATATGCTAAGCCATTTTGCCATATAATTGGGCCCGCGAAAGTAATATTAAAAGCGAGCGGGATGAATTAAATTGCCGGTTGAAAAATTAGTTTTCGGACGACGTTTTCTCGCTACCTTAAAAGTTTAGGAGCTACAAGCTGATCGAAAATTTCGCTATAAATTGTGCGTTTTATGGCCATCGGATTGATTGATTGTGGAAATTTCAACGCCACAATAAAAACATCAGTGTAATTTTGAGTGGGAATCCGTCATGATGGAAATGAAAAACACCTGACATTTTATGCCGATTGTAATTTAATACGTTCGTGCGATTTTTAATTAACGGAAGGTGAAATATAGTTTCTTCGAGTATCGAATCCACGGGTTGTCCGGGAAAATTTTTTTAATCACAGAGAAGGTCATTTTATCACTTGCAAAAGACACTTGATAATTGAATGAGGATATATGCAGATTCAATCCCCTTATACCGGATTCTCCATTATAATTTCCTTGATGCTTAAATATAACAATAAAAAATGATGGTTTTGTGTAAAGGGAGTTTTCTTTTGATGTTAGCTCGAGAAAGAAAGGATTTCCTATTATCAAAAATTTAATTAACAATTAATTTTTATTGGGTTTCTTCTGTTGTATTATTTTGCTCGATTGTTGAATTTTTAATTTTCATAAATATTTTTAGATATAGGATGGAGCAATTTTTATGTTTTAACAAAAAGGTTCTAAAATCTAGTTTTATAGGCGTTGTAGATTAAAAATTTAATATCTATACGCACTTGACTGTTTAAGTGTAAATGGTTTATAAGTAACTGTATGTTCCTTCATGTAAAATCGTAAAAAGAAAATATAATATACCACCCCATAAATACCTAAATTTTTCAATAAAAAATATCGCCAGGCTAGAATATAACCTATAAGTTTTTTACAAAATTTATCGCAAATATCAGAAAACCGAATAAACTATAAAAAACTCGCTTTTATCATCAGGTAACAAGGGATTGTTATCCCGTTGTAAATCACCGATGAAATTAATATCGCAACAAACGCCACGTACAAATCCCTGCGATCATAAATAACGCGGAAGTAGATACTACAGAGCAGAATTTTTAAATTACATTTACCAAATTTATCAATTCTTGCCTTCGATTGCGACCCTCTCACGTACTTTTCCATCGGAATCACCGGTTAGGCAACGTTTGGAAACTCTCCAAGAACCGACGTTAGTAACATTCACGTAAGACGTTTTACATTTTAATTACGTTACGTTACGTAAAAGGTAATAGCTTAATGTAGCAAGTCGGCTCTCCCGGGCGGTCGAACATGCTCTAATTAAAAGTGAGATATATGTCCTTTCAATTCCCGCTCTAAGTACCCGAAACCTATTTAGGGAATATCAGCGAGAAGCTCAAAAAAACGGTGGAAATGATATTATCTTTGTACCCGCCTCGAATGCAATTTGCTCTGAAATGAATTCAAAACAATTTAATTGCAGAAATAATATTATTTCGTGCGATTTGTAGAAGAACGAAATTAACTTTTGTTGAAAAACAGAGGCCAAAATTACTCGTTTTGGCGAATGAAAAAAATTCTTAACTTCCCGCATAACTAATTAAAAAATTCCTCAATACAAATTATTCCTGCACATATATAAAATTCTTTTCCACATTATTTACCTAAAATACAAAAAAATGCAACGAGGAATCCTACATTCGCGAAATGAAACAATACACAGGGCGATTTATTTATTACATTTTATTAAATTTAAAATAATTAGTATCGTTTTAAACGTTGTTTAAATATAAAAAACGATACGCCAGGTAACGCTAAAGGGTCCTTTAAATATTTGCGCTGGGAAAATTGAAACAGTCGACCCAAAGTAAATGAAAGGGGGGCGAAAATGCGCGGAATGTTACACAATTAACGGTCAGCGGTACTGCTAAAGATAATTTAAATTCATTATACGAGCTTTTATAATTACAATTTTCTACCTGTATGCTGTTGGCGTTTCATTAATTTTTTATTAAAATTAAAACACAATTTGAAGGGCGTTTATTAAAATGCTTTCAGGTCTGATCAAAATGCAAGACTTCTATCAATTCCTTTTCAAATGCCTGTTCGTGCTGGTGGCGGCCTCTGTGGTGGTCTCGGCAGCCCCGCGCCTCATCGACGACCCCTTAGAAGACCCCAACCAGGTATATATTTCCTTCTGCTTAATTCGCTTCAATAAATATTCGGGTAATCGGTTTCTCTTGCGGTTTAGTTGTCGGAGATCGAGAGAAGCCAGCTGGGGCCGGGCCTGAGAAATTGGCAAAACATGGAGCTGCTGGCCCAAAAACTGGCCTTGGCCGAGCTGCAGAACAGCAATCAAGTACGTTTTCCGCGAGACTTGCGGAGCGACGTGAAGCGTCGCTTCAGAGCCTGCTACTTCAATCCTGTTAGCTGCTTCAAAAAATAAAAAAATCGACTTTGTCCATGTTGTAATTAAACGTACAGTTTGTGCAGGAGGAATTTTCATATCGAATCCGAAATTTTAGGATGTTGGTGGAATGGGTTTTTGGATTGCCTGATTCGAGTCTGTGTGTCGTTTGCGCGAAAATTCGCATTCGTATCGAAATTCCTTCGCTAAATGTTCGAATTCAATTTAAAGAGCATGTACCTATATTTATCAAATACTTATTGTTCATTGAAAAAGTTGGATGTAGCAAAAATAAATGTGCTTCCTGCATGCGTATATATTCTTGTAAAACGGTTTAACCCCGATGAAAATTCTATTCCCTTTCACCTCGATGTAGATACATGTAGCATCAAAAATAAAATAATTTAATATGTATTATTTTAGTACTTATTGATTTTTGGTGAAATATTATCCTGCTGTTAATGCTGTATATTATCGCTTATTAATCCGAAAACTTGTTACAGTATTTTTTTTTTCATTAATTTTCTTATACAGGGAGATTTTGCAAACTATGCTAAATTAAGGTTGTTAATTAATAGTGATTAAGCTTCCTGCTAATGGTAGACTAATGAACAGAATCTCCCTGTAATATGAATTTTACCCATACGTAAAGCATGAAGTTTTAATTTAACAGTGCCAAGTTTTCAACGCGTTTATACAGGGTGGTAAATTAGTATATAACAACTTTTGTTAAGAAGTTTCTTTGATATCATCTAGAGTAACAGCTGTATTGAGCTTTTCGCCTGCGGCAAAGGCATTATGGTAGAAGCTTTTTTTTGTTTCGTCCAAAAATTCCACTTTATACATTGTAAAATACTTGTAACATAACGTGAAATTCGACGAATGTATAAAATCTGTTATTAGGTAAATATGTACAGCTAGAGCAGGATTTCGTCGGCTTATTAACAGTTTCGTTTTGTGCAGTTTCAGTTAAGACGGCAGGATTTTGATGCGCCAAACGGCTTTCTTCCGGAGGCTCTCCGGCGATCGACGAGAGGCGGCAGCAAGAGCGACGGGGGCGGCAAACGCGGCAGCCGGTGCTACTTCAACGCCGTCAGTTGCTGGGGCAAAAAGTAATGTTTTTGTTTTTCGGAAAGAATCTCCGATCCTTCGGCCATTTTCCTCGTTTAAACTGTAAATTATGTTTGGATCTGTAATGTAATAAAGCAAATATACTATGTAATGAAGTTATTCAATTATTTTCTTGAAGTTTGGATTTTATGATTGTGTTAATTGGAAATAAAAATTGAATAAAAAAATATTTTATTAAATACAAGGTACGTAAGAAAAGTTAAATCTATGTAACAAAACTATTTACAAAAAAAAACACTGTTAACTAATCGATAGATTATTTTGTACAGAAAATCTCGCTTATTGCATTTTTTTTTTGTTTTACAATCAAGAAACAGCGTAAGTTGTTAAAAAATATTTTTATAATTAAGTACACTTTTTACATTAAGTCTAAAGTATATTTAGTATCAAAACTAGTATTGTAAATATTGAGCAAGTTTAATTAGTCCTTAAAAGAACTTTAGGTAGCCGCACTGGATTTTCAAACGAAACTCTCTAACGAATTAAGTAGTTATGATAACAGCTAGAAGTTTATTTATTTAAAGTCCTAAAAACCTCTACCTGCTTTCCTCAATTATAGCAGTCACAATCGATGTATTATTACAAGGAACATCCAATAAAGTCATCCTAAAAAAATACTTTTCCTCCAAAAAAAAAACAAATAATTACAAATTTTTACACTCGTCTTATCGTACATAAATCACTAACATTATTGCATCACTTTTGTAAGAAAAAAAAAATAAATTAACATTCAGAGACCGTCTTTCTCATCGTGGAAAACGCCGGGCCGCTCACGATCCGCCGGAATCGGACGCGTTGTGGGCCGGCTCGGGGGATCCCGTCGACGAGCCGTTGTGACAGTGGCTGCAGTGCAGGCACACGCCGCAGGAGCCGAGCTTCCTCGCCAGCACCGAGCGCAGCTTCAGCGCCGGCCCCAACTTCATGTTCATCGTGTTGGTCAGGTGGTCTTCGGTGAGCAGCGGCAGGCCAGCGCCATCGATGCGCTCCTCGCGGAATGTCTGCAAAAAACAACGAGGAGTTAGAGCAGGAAATCGGGTCTGTAGTGCCGGGTTTCGACGGAAGATGGCTGAATTACCACGCGCGGGGAATAAACTACCCCTGTACGAATACGAGGGAGTTTGGCTTAGTTTTGATGGAGGGTGGAATTTGATTGTATCCGTTAAAAAATTGGAATATGAAACAGGTTCCGACGAAGGTTTAACGTTTGGCATTAAATTAGACGTTCGCGGGTTTTGTAACTGTTGTTTAATATAAAAATGCAGATAGTCAGGTTTAAGTGCCCATTAAAATTATTTTCACGACTCGGGTAATATAAGGATTTTAATAAAAACGAAGTAAAAACGTTGTTCGGCGCATTATGGCTAGTACCTGTTTAATTTACACGGCCGTAAACCTCCTTCGGTCTTATTGACGGGCAATTCCGACAATTCGGTACGACTTGTAGGTGGCCAGTCTCGAATTAACCACTTGGAAATGTTAAAATTCCAGTAGGAAAAAAAAGTGTTCGACGTGAAACGTGTATTTTTAGATTGATTGTTGTATTGGGTATTTCAAGCGACTTATTATTATTAAATTTCATTGCGAAATATATATTTTTTTTGTAATGTATTGTACTGGAACGAACAATGTAGCGACTAGTGTCAATACAGTCAATGTCAATAGGTATATATTTAATTAGCTCCTTATGAAAGTGTATCCAGTAATAATATTCCGAGGTCATAGTGTAACTATAACAGGAGCGCATCCGTTTCAGGAAATTTAGCATAGTCGAGACATATTTGGAGATTTTCAATACAGGTATTATTTCTCTCTGTAACTTAAATTTAATATTTCTGCTTAGGTGGATGCTTATGTAATCTACCGACAGTAGCAGGAGTAATAATTACGTACAAACTAAAATGTTACGCTTATGAGCGGATTTAGCTATTTACTAGATAATTGCGGGTAAGTACAGTTGAGGTATAATGTCTTGGTAAAACCAGGACAAATGATTATTTTAGTAAACAAATTACCTATACGACTAAATTACTGCTCGGTACTCGATAGAAATTTAATGAAAAAATATATTATCTAACGCAATAAAAACCCAGTTTTTTGGAATCGGTTAATTTATATTTCACACGCCCTGTATAATACAAACGAGATCACATCCGTCGCCGGAGTGAACAACCTAAGCGTACATCGTAAATCAATGCCTTTTTTTCTCCACTCAACATCGAGAATATCAACCTTTCTACTGTTACTGTTACGCATCTCTAATACCTCTCCCGGCGTCGCCGATGATTTAAACGCCGGTCGGCGGCTCATTTGAATAGCCGCATAAATCGGCGCGAGGTGTGAGAAAATTTTCACGTAATTTGTCCGTCAGGATGGGCGATTTGTCGCCTCTATCTAATTCGCCTATCGTCCGAAAAGTACCGGTGCGCGGCGACCATTTACATATTTCGGCGAGAATCGGCGAACGGAGTGATTAATGATCGGATCGACCCATCACATTCCGGGCCCATCTGTGCGCCCATTTATTACGGCCGTTCGCGTGCTCCGCTCGCACACGCACCCAAAGTACCGCGTTCAACTTCCACTAGGTACTTCTCGTTTTCTCCACTGCGCTGTTAAACCGCCGGAATATTCAGCTGAATTATACTCGGAACGCGCTTAGCTGATAAGCTGATACCTTAATTCGATGATACAATTAGTACCATTGGTGCTAATATTAGGTAAAGCATACACATTTTTCTGTTAACTCTAAGTGCACGGAGAGTAAGTTAAATAATGTTAGAGTTGTATAGTTACTTTTTTAGTTGAATTAAATCCGGGAATCCGGTTCTGCGCGATGGCGGTTTTCCTTAAAAATAAATTGTAAAATCACGTGCCGCGATGGATTAATTAGTCGGCCATTAAAGGCTCGCGGTACTAAAACAATTGCCCGAACAACAGCAGCCAACAAGAAGTAGAGCGTTTAACATAAGCTGAAGAACTTTAACGATATTCGCCGAGGTAGAATGGAACCATAGGCGGAACGGTTATTATTAATTGTAGACATCGTTAAAGCGCAATAATCGCTAATAAGATGCGAGATGTTTGTTATAATTTCCTGCTATACAATATTTTTTTTGCTAGAAATTGGCAGCAACCTTTTATTGAACATTGGTCCAGGTCCGAATGCCCTCGAAATAACTAATCATCGGGATATCTCAATTTGCAATTAGCGCATTTTATTATCTCGTCATCGATCGATTTATCGATTGATTCATCGGTTTAAATCGCGCGGCCGTTCCGTCTGCCCGGTTGGAAATTATATCAGGATGTTATACTTTATAAGAACGAGTTGCATTTAATTAATGGCAGTTTTAGAGACCGGTTAGCGTATCGAAAAAGTCCCCGGGACGCATCGGCGCGCTTTCGAATTTCTCCAACGGGAGGTACTATAGAGGTACTGCTTTAGATTAATATTGTGCCACTTAATGATACTAGTTTCTATCATTCTTTTGTAGTTACTCTTCATCGATATTTCAAACACTTTTCTCCCTACTTTTGTTATTTTTTTTTCATTAAATATCTCAAACACTTTTCTCCCTACTTTTATAGATACTTTTCGTAAATATTTCACCCTACTTTTACGAAACTTTGATTTGATACACTTCAGTTACATTCTTGCAAACATCCACTATACTTTCGATACTTTCTCACAGCGCTCTTTGACTATTTTTTCTACGACACAAGTGCGCATAATTACACCGAATGCCCCCCGTCCCTGCCGCAAACAACTTAATAGCGAGTACATGTCGGTGCTTCTGCGGTTAGTTATTAACAGGTCATATTGTAATTACTGCGAGATTGCGCTTATTAAATTCCTCGGTTGACCGGTGGATACGCGCAAGAAAAACGAACTCGCAAATTGAAAACGCATTCGTACGAGATCTCGTAGAAGCGCAGTCCTATAGGTTCGAGTTTTTTCTGCAGCTTACCGGTCTTTTATTTTATCATCGAAACGCCGAGCTTGTTTATTCTAGGAGGTTATTAAATAGATTGTGTGTACATTGAACTTGCAGAAGGAAAGTGTTGTAAGACTTAACGACGTATAAAAGAAACAGGAATATAAAAAGTTTATATGCTAGAGTTGTATAGTTTTTGGTAAACATTGGGGGAACTTTGTAGTGCAATAGGAATTTCTATCGTCATTCATACGGCATAATTTTAGTGGAACGCCCTCGAAGTATCGACGATTCTAACAAAAATCGCCTTTAACGTTCCCATTCATGCCATTAAAACTGTGACTGGCGTTTTTTCTTATTACAGTCTTCTATGTATAATATAAATTTCGTCGTTGTTGATACAAGCCCACGTCGCTCGAAAGTACATAAAGATGAATGTCTCCGATTTAGCATATCTATAACGTAATAATAAAACATTAGAGTCGAGAGAGCTCGAATAATAACGCCCTTGCTAGGTCGCTCGCCGAGCGCTGTAACACAAAAAAACAAACCCAAGCACATACAGACGAGAAGAAAGAAAGGTCGAACGGATAGCGCATTGGGTGACATTTCGCCCCGAATACACACCTCAATACGGCTCGTCATTGTTCCAACGCACATACAGTATAATGCATGAATACTGTTTAGAATAATGTCGAATTTATATACAAGGTGGCGACCGAATTATAACTACGGCACGTAATCAGATGCACTTAATTTTGAAGTAAACTCACGACGAGATTGTATACAGTACGAAAAAATATATCTATCGCATTGTAGGAATTATGTTCGTTGTCGCTCTAACGCCTAATGTGCGAATTTCAATTTCGAATTGCGACAACACCTCGGCTATAGCGAGTGTTAAAACTTGTCTCGCTTCGAACGCTAACAATAAATACGGAGATAATTGTTTGTCGCGGACAAAATTTTTCGGACACGCCCTTACGAGTCGCGAGGACTCGCCTAAAACCCCGTCGAACCGTTCGAGAAACGCTCTCGCAGGCGCGCAATGAAAAAAAAAAGACGCTTCGGTTTTAATTAAACCGCATAAAAATCCAATCGACAGATAAACTGCCGAGACGCTCGGTAAACTAGTTGACTTCCTGTTCCACCGGTCAGTCGCAGGACCAGAACCGACTCGTAATCCCATCCGACGGCTCGCCGGCATTTTTCCGCGCGCGTTTCGCCTTTTTTTTTCCTGCCTCTGTGGGAATGATGGTCAACGAGATCCGTGCGAACTGTAGCGATCCGTCAAATCGAACGGAAACTATATAACTCGGCGTCGAACAGAAAATATCGATAATATAACGAATCGAACCGTTTTGCGGTTTCGATTCGGTTCCGCGAGCACGGAAATTCCTGCCGGAATCGTCCGGAGGACCGGACTGGTTTCGAACCGATGGCGTGCTCTCTTTTTTTTTTCATTATTTCTTACTTCTAATCGGGAACCCGGCTATCTCGAATGTCATACCCCGAGCGAGAATTATTATGAGAGATCGATTCCGCCAGTCGAGGCGTGCCGAGATAATTACCCGCGATAGTAGCCTAAGCTACTTGATTTCTATACGGTGGATCTCGTTAATTAGAACCACTCACCGATGGTACTTAATAAAAATTACCTGTACCTCGGGAACCCAATAAACGTTTCCTGCTAGAACGTTTTTATACACTCGGTACTACTTCGTAATAATTGTACCTATACCATTTCTTTGCAGCATTTGATACCTACCATTATTTATACCTACATATTACATTGAGTATGGTACTACCGAGTACTGATACATTATTTACCAATTATAGAAGCTACCGCACATTTGGTAGAAAGGGTACTACCTAGTAACGTTAGTATCATCAATTCTAGTATCAGGTACTACCATCGGTACTACCTAGTATCGTTAGTAGCAACTCTAGTATCAGGTACTACCATCGGTACTACCTAGCATCTTTAGTAGCAACTCAATAGCATCAGGTACTACCATATTGGTACTACCTAGTAACGTAAGTACCAACTCAATAGTATCAGG